ACAACAGTACACCTGGGGAAAAAAAGAAAACGGGATGGCACCCCCTCAAGAAATCACTCTTCCAAACGTCAACGACATGCATCACCCCAGCAGGAGGAGGTGGAGGTGGAAGAGGTGGAGGGGGAAGAGGCCATGGAAGTGGAGAAAACAAAGAAGCCAAAGAAGCCAAAGAACAAGAACACCACCACCACCACGACAGTCCAGAAGAAGGATCGCATTTATGTGATGGCCCACAATGCACGATCCTATGATTTACACTTAATCCTGAAGGGTCTGTCCCCCCTCCTGGTGACACTCCCCACCAAGATTCGAAATGGCCAACAAATTTTTCAGATGACCCTGGGACGACTGTGTTTCGAAGACAGCTTAAATTTCATCCCTTACACCCTGAAAGCCTTTCCAAAGAGCTTTGGGCTGAAGAAAGGGTACTTTCCGCACTTTTTCAATACAGAAGCCAACCAGACCTACAGAGGTCCCTATCCACCAGCCGTCATGTACGATCCCGATGGCATGTCTCCCGCGGAACGCACAGCCTTCCTCCAATGGCATACCCAAAAAGTGCAAGAAGGAGCCTTGTTTGACTTACAAGGAGAACTTTTAGCCTACTGTCAGAGCGATGTGGACATTTTGAGATGGGGATGCGCTGACTTCCGACAGAACGCCATCAACTCGGTTGGCATGGATCCCTTTGTAGAAGTGATAACAGCTGCAGCGTTCACCATGAAATCCTTCCGAAAACACGCCCTGAAACTCAATACCATCGCCATTCTTCCACCTCAAGACTACCAACCCAAAAGAAACTATTCCCAAGCCTGTATGCACTGGCTCAATTATCTGATGGAAACGGACCCCCATCTGCACCTCCAGCACGCCAGGAATGGAGGTGAAAAAGAATTCACGTGGGGAGAGGGTCAACATTGGTACAGTGTTGATGGCTACGATCTAGCCACAGGCACCATCTACGAATTCCTGGGCTGTTTCTGGCATGGGTGCCAGGCCTGTCACAAAACCGAGCGTGGGGAACCTCATCTCGTCCTGGGCACTTCGTTGGGAGCCCGTTATACCGACACCCGCTACCGCCTGAGTCTCTTGAATCAACACCCTGAGGTGAAAAGGATCGTCACCCTGTGGGAGCATGAGTTTACAAAAATGCAACGGGAGGACTCTGCTCTGCGTGCTTTCTTGCAGGGACCCCACTGTATTCACGTCCCTGGGCCGCTCAACCCTCGCGACGCCTTCTATGGAGAACGCACCAATGCCACGCAATTGTGCTACGAAGCCCAAGAAGGTGAAACCATCAAGTACCCGACCCTTCTCCATCAACCTCCTGTGGACACGTTGTTTGAACTGAAAGGACTGATCCAATGCTGTGTCTTACCTCCGAAACGACTCTACCATCCGTTACTGCCTTACAGATCGGGTGGCAAACTGCTCTGTCCTTTGTGCCGCACGTACTGACACCCGGTCAGACTCCTCCTGCAAGCACACGGACGAAGAGAGGTCATGGGTGGGGACGTACGCCACCATAGAACTCCAGGAAGCCGTGAAGAAGTATGACTACCAGGTGCTTCAGATCTACGACGTTTGGCATTTTGACACCTTTGCACAGCATGACCCCGACACCCAGCAAGTGGGACTCTTTGACACTTACATCGATCGACATTTCAAGGAGAAGCTCGAAGCCAGCGGATACCCCGAGGGATGTACGGATCACGACGGAGGAGATCTACGACAAAGAAGGCATTGGGTTGGACAAGGACCGCATCGAAAAAAATCCAGGACGTTGCAAGATTGCCAAGATGCAACTGAATTCGCTCTGGGGCAAGTTTGGACAACGGTTAGACTACAGTCAAAACATCTATATGAACGATCCTGTACAGTACTTTGCCTTGTGGAGGAATGAACGCAATACCATCGAGGATGTACCGTTGTCAACGAACACATGGTGGAAGTGACCTATACCCAAAAGAAAGAATTCCAAACCCCTCATTCTCATTTCAATGTCGCCATCGCTGCGTGGGTCACCGCCCAAGCACATCTCAAGCTGTACGAGACCCTTGCCCTGGTGGGTCGCAGGGTCTTGTACTTTGACACGGACAGCGTCATTTACATTCATCGGCCCCACGACGCGAATCCAGAGCTGGGCCATTCGTTGGGTGAGTTTACAGATGAACTGGACGGAAACACCATCAAGACGTTTGTGTCAGGAGGCCCCCAAAACTATGGCTATGAGTTTATGAACCCCAGACCCAATGGAACGCGCACGACCTGCAAAGTGCGAGGGTTCACTTGAATTACCGAAACCAACAACATCTCAACTTTGACACCATGAAAGGACTGATACTGGGACAACGACCTGGGAAAGAGGGGGAGAAAATCAGTTTGGATTACCCTCATCAGATCATTCGAAAAGGACCTCGGCACGAAAACGCTCTTGTGACCCGACCCACCCGAAAAGACTATCGTACCGTGTACGACAAGCGACGTCTCGTCTACGACGAAACCACAGGGCTGCCTGTAGACACGCTCCCCTTTGGGTACAGAGATGACTTTCTATAAAAAAAAAGAAAACGTGACAGAAGCCTCTCAAGAAAACAAAGTGACTAACCAATGGGAGGACATGCTGCTCCACTGTTTTTTCCAGTGTCCCGTCGTTTCCAGTTTTTCCAGTGTTCCAGTGTTCCTACCGTTTCCTGCCGTTTCCAGTTTCCAGTTTCCAGTTTGTTTTCCAACGGCCCTTTTCAGGGCAACCCATCTCACCCAAAAGACAACTTTCATTCTTTGCTTTGACGACCCTCAAACCCAAACCATGAACCCGCCTCCTCCTCCTTTCCTCACTCCCTTTACCACCACCCTCCCTCCTCCCTTCACCACCGCCGCCTTGTCTATGTTTAGAACCACCACACCCACACCCACACCAACCATGGCGATCTTGTTCACCTTTTACGACCGCTTCTCTGGGTTTTTTACCCCTTTCCCTCCTCCTCCTCCTGCTCCTCCCTCGGAAAACGGAGGCGACGCCCTCTTACAATGGAATCAAGTAACAAAAACGCAACTGCTACTGAAAAGCATGCATTCCATGCAAAAGTTTACTTTTATGCAAGCCCCATGAATTCACTACCCAAGAATGGGTATAAAAACGTGCATTGTTTAGCATCGTGCTGACAACAACCACTCAGAAAAACAACAAAATTACGCAATTATTCAACATTACGAAATGCCACGCCTGTCCGAAAATGAGCGTCTGCGAGCCATTGGTATGCTTGAAGCAGGATCGAGTCAACGTGATGTTGCAAGACAATGTAACGTCACCAGAAAACACCATTTGGTGGTTATGGCAACGTTGGCAACAGACGAATGCGGTCAGAGACCATCCTATCAGTGGCAGGCCACGCGTAACCAATAATCGACAAGACAACTGGATTCGAACAACACACCTACGAAATCGATTCCAGCCAGCAACAGTGACTGCAAGAAGCAAGTTATGGTATGGGGTTCGATTACAGCAAGACAGAGGACCCGTTTGATAGTGGCAGAGGGAAATCTCAATGGCCAGCGCTACCGCGACGAGATCAAAAGCCCTGTTGTTCTACCGTTTTTGCGTCGTCATCGCCCACGCTATTGATTTGTAAATTGACATTTTGGCATGTTCATATTTTTAATGAAATCACGCATTTTCTGAAGTCAGTGTGGCAAATTAAACCATTTGAACACTTGCAGGAGTCTTTTATCTGTTGCAAACCGAAATTGTTTCAGATTTGGTAAAAAACAACTTTGCATTAAATCTTATTCAATGTCACAGGAATTTTTGTTGTTCAGTGTATATATATATATATATATATATATATATATAAGACGTTATAGAAAAGTCGTTAAAAATTACAAGACATACTCTACTGAAACCCAATGAAAAATCTGTGGGCGATCAAATTATACCGTTTGTGTCAACCTTTAATCCTAATAACTGTGATATCATGCCAGTCATAAGGGACAACCTCCCAATTCTATAGCAAAGTGATAAAATGAAACAAGGACTGAATATCTCAAGCAAATTCTTGGTCCATCCAAATATTCTTGTACAGGGAGTGTACCATGTGTAAGTAGATGTAACACACCAAGATGCGGCACGTGTAACATCATAAGTGAAGGTGCCACTTTCCTTTTTGCAAATGGCAAGGGTTTCAATGTGAAAGCCAAAATGAACTGCCGCAGCAGTGAGTGAGTGAGTGAGTGAGTGAGTAGGGTTTAACGCCGCTTTTAACAGTATTACAGTTATATCGCGGCGTGTCAGCTTAATGTGGGAGGAAAGTCCGAAGTGATGCAGGTATCAGACGTTTACCACTTCGGTGAAACCCACGAGCATGGGTATGGTGCTGACAAACCTAGAAACATAATCGGGGCGAACCGGGATTCGAACCCAAAATCATAGGTTTCTGGCGTGTCCAAAGGACGCAACTCTGCACAGCGAATCGCGGCGCCTTAGACGACTGGGCCACCCGTGCCCCCAACTGCCGCAGCAAAGATGTGGCGTATGTTATGAGATGTTCGGGATGCGGCGAAAACTACATCGGTGAAACCGGCATGGAATTAAAAGATAGAGTAACTGTACACAAACAGCAGATTAGAGACCCTGATATTCGATGCTTAAGTGTCAGCAAACACATTGATGATTGCGGAAACGAGAAATTTAGTATTTTTCCGTTTTATAAATTGTATACAAGTAACAAGCAGCTGATACTGGAAAAAGAACAAATGTTTATCCAATTGATGAAACCCAAATTGAACTCTAGAATGTATTTACAGATTTTCATTTCAATCGTAAATGTTACACTGTTACTTTACAAATACTGTATATTTTAATTCAAATGTCTCCCTACAATTGTTAAATTACTTGGTGTCGTCGCTGGAGTGTGTAAATACATTATGACGTCACAGTTGTAATTTATGACGTCATCTTAAGTATGACGTCATATTATATGTCATTGTCAGTTACACTGAAGAGCTGGCATGAGACAGAGAAAGTACTATGTCAAGATGCCATTTACATGTCAATACAAGTTGATGATGCACGGAATGAAGAGGACATGATCTGGCTTTCTTCTATAACTGATGATGTTAATGTCAAACCAGAAAACGCGGTCAGACCAACTTTCCACTGTTTCAGCCCACAAGATATTCAGGAGACACAGTTGGTTGACACGACTATCCAGAAAGTTTGGAAGTATTTCAAAAGGATCAAACGACCACCAAAGCCAAAACAAGAATGTAAGTATGAGGCGACTACTGGTTTATTCAGAGAATGGAAGAAGATGTTCTTCAATAAAGATGGAATCCTCTGTAGAAAGTCTTTGCTCTTAGGAACTGAGGAACGGATTCAGATAGTATTGCCTCGTGAGTATCGACCACTGGTGTTGCACGAACTTCATAATGAAATGGGTCATCTTGGATCAGAGAGAGGCATGGCTTTGTTAAGGGAACGGTTCTACTGGCCACATATGCAGAAAGACATTGAGCGATACGTAACCGAGGATTGCAGGTGCTTGAAGGATCGCAAACACAATCAGCTCACTAGAGCTCCATTGCAACCTATATCTACATCAGCTCCCTACGAGTTAGTCTCTATTGACTTCCTCCACCTGGAGTAAAGTGTAGGTGGCTGTGAATACATCCTCGTCGTTTCTGATCTCTTTACCAGGTTTTTTCTAGCCTATGCTACTAGAAACAAATATGGTAAAACAGCAACGGATAAGATATTTAATGATTTTGTGCTGATGTTTGGATTTCCGTCAGAGCTCCATCATGACCAGGTTACAGAGCTCGAGAACCGTCTCTTCCGTCAACTTCAGAAATATTGCAGGATGGCAAGATCGTGACCAACACCCTATCACCCAGATGGAAACAGACAGGTTGAACGTTTCAACCGGACTCTCTTAGGTATGTTGAGAACTCCACCCAGCCAAATGAAGACCAACTGGAAGGATCACTTGAATAAAGTGGTGCATGCTTACAATTGTACTCGTAACGACGCAACTGGTTTTTCACCTTTCTACCTCCTCTTTGGATGCTCACTACGACTGCCAGTTTATCAGATGTTTGGGCTGGGCCAGGACATATCAGGTGCCAAACCTATGACAGTATGACAAGAAAGTAAGGAGCACAACTCTTCTTTCAGGGGACCAAGAACTCGTAAGAAATATGTCGGAACGAGGAGGACCTGGTATGCTCAGATCGTATTGGGAACCAAAGATCCATGTGGTGGTGAAACGAGCAACAGAGGATGGACCTGTGTATGAAGTTCGACCAGAAGATGGTCATTGACGCACCAGAGGGCTACACAGGAATATGTTGTTGCCTTGTAATGGGTTACTAGTAGAGATCCAGGAGACACAGCAAACCAAGTTGAAAGGTCCTAGACTCGATATTGTGAGACCAAAAGCTCAGCCAAGACAGAACCTCCCAAGGTGCCCATAAGTGAAAGTGACACTAACTCTTCAAAAATGATTATTGAATGTGGCAAAGATGTACAGGAAAATGGTACAGGAAGTAGCAGTGACAGTAAAGAATCTCATGTCTCTGATGAGAGTGACTCAGGAGAGTCTGTGGGTGATAGAGACAACAGTGAGGGAACAGCTACAGGGCGAAATGCCTAAGATGATAGTGCAAGTGACGCCAATGCTAAACCAGAGACTGACAGTTGTCAGGTACACCCTCAACATGATGTTTTTCAGACTTCAGCAGACACTGACTTTGCAGATGACGAGAGTAATGAAACTCATCAGCGACGAAGGAGACGTCGCAGACTTCCACCAGCGAGGTTGACATGGGACACCATCGCGAACCCTTCCCTGAACATACCCGGGGTAACTCTAAATATGATGGGGGACGGTCGGGTAGCCTGGTGGTAAAAGCGTTGGCTCATCATGCCGAAGACCCGGGTTCGATTCACGACATGGGTACAATGTGTGAAGCCCATTTCTGGTGTCCCCCGCCATGATATTGCTAGAATATTGCAAAACCATACTCACTCACTCTAAATATGATGGGACCAGCATGGCCCATGCTACCAAACCCATGGTGTCAACCGTTCCAGGTGATGGTACCCCAGGCACTAGTCAACCCAGTCATGTATCCTATTCACCATAGAGGTTAGAGTGAATGTGTGAGTTCTTGATGTGGTGTAAAATACTCTAGTTTTCTCATTCCTTGTGAAATAAATGTGTGATACAAATTGTTAGAATTTGTACAAGGCTGAATAATCTAGCTCATGTGTTAACATTATTGTTAGAAACTTTGTAGTTTTGTATGACTGGCCATCTTTCAAAGCTCTGTAAGTTTTATTCACATGTTGCAGGTATTGCCTGTTTGCTGTGTAAAGTATGATTGTGTGATGTGTTTTAGTCAGCCAAAATTATATATTTTTCTGTTTCACAGTCGGTTTGTAAACAAGTATGAGTGGTTTTCATTGCAAGTTAGTTAATATACTGTTTGTAAAAAATATTGTTCACATGCATGTTGTGAAGTGTCGGGTCGACATTTATTTAGGCGGTGTGGATGTAAGATTGTGGTGAAAGGTGCGTTTTTGAGATTTACGGCCTAAGGGAGGCAACTCTATTATGTTCGCTCCAAACCACGCTTGTCGGAATTGGTTAATCACATTGCAGCGTGTGTCTGTGTGTCGACTGCTAATTAACATTTCTTCTGTATATTTTCAACCTGTACGGTTGAGAGGTCTAACACCTCCACATGTTGTTTGTTGTTTAACGTCGCACTAAGCAATATTCCAGCTATATTACGGCTGTCTGTAAATAATCGAGTCTGGACCAGACAATCCAGTGATTGACATCATGAGCCTCGATCCACGTAATTGGGATATGATGACATGCATCAACCAAGTCAGCAAGTCTGACCATCCTTCCCCTGTTTGTCGCCTCTTAAGACAAGCAAGTGTTGCTGAAGATCACTTATAACCCAGATCTGTACTGGTCGCGGGACAGTGTAATAATATATAGCATGACAAATAATCCTCTAGAAGGTATCCATTTTGTGGAATTGTTTTCATTCCGACCTGTCGCACGTATGTATAAATCTACACACCTACACGCGAGTGACAGCTGTATCTCACACAACAGATGTACCATTGGGAAATACTGCATGACTACGTGTGCTGCTATCACCTTTCAATGATCAGCCAATTGATCAGTGATGACTAACACTTGTTATAGCTACAGGTTCATTAACAGCTTCGGAAATCTCTTCCGTCACGTTTATCGTATCGACCATTTTGACGCCTTGTACGTGATGTAAATGTATTACGACGCGATGTCATTGTGACTGACTTACTGGGGCAGTTCTTAACAGACCCTTCTCATTTGGTGATGATCTTATTTGAATAATTTGTTGTCAAGAAACTTCAAAAGTTGTTCCTGTAGAGCATGTTGGGCATACATACGCTCATGCCACCTCTCGTTTTGATGACCCGTGAAGATCCGGTGTAGAATAGGTCTTCAGTAAAGCATGCTTGCCGTAAAAGGCGACTACGCTAGTCGTAATTTAAGAGATTTAATGGGATCGGGTGGTCAGGTTCGGTTTTTCTTTTCATTTTTTTTCCAAAACCATGTAAAAAGTTTTTACCCACAGACAGTTACAAGTGAAGTCGACCCGTTAAGATCCGGAGTAGAATAGGTCTTCAGGTCAATCACTGGATTGTCTGGCCCAGACTCGATTATTTACACGATATGGCTGAAATATTGCCGATGTGACGTAAAGCATTAACTCACTCAAAGAATTAAAGTTTCCTTTGACAAGAAATATTTTTTACATTACATTTCACACTACACCCGTGAAGATCCGGGGTAGAATTTGTCTTCAGCAACCCATGCCTGTCGTAAAAGGCGACTAACGGGATCGGGTGGTCAGACTCGTTGACTTGTTTGATACATAACATCGTATCCCAATTGCGTGGATCGATGCTCATGATGTCAATCACTGATTTTTCTGGTCCGGACTCGATTATTACCACACTTTAGCTATTAGAATTGAAATAATGTGCCAAAAGATACCTCTCTACTTTCCCTTCAAATGGTCCTCACGTGAGCGCGCATCTATCTAGATCCTTAATTCTTTTCAAAACTTAAAAGTAAGACTAATTTTCGATCGCAAATGGAGATAATTTAGGAATTGTCAAGTAATACATATAATGTAGTCATTTTCTATCCTTTTAAATTAAATAAAGTCTCGCCGGGCGACAAGCTCCTCACAGCAATAGACCGTTCGCGGAGCTCTCTATATACTATGTTACCGAGAGTGTAACCACAGGAGTCCGTATCTAAAAATAGACGCCCTCATGCATATTCATGACCATCTCCACACGCGAGCCCGAAGATGGTCATGAATATGCATGAGGGCGTCTATTTTTAGATACGGAGTCCTGTCATGTAACGAAGGTGGCACGCGCTGGGAAGGAGCTTGATCAATAAGGTCACGGTCATTACTATAGCCTGCCGACACCTTCCATTTTTATCCTTCCAAAATTCGCGAAAAGGTATGTTGTTTCACACTTCTTCAGCATGGACTTGGATAGAAATATAATTTATGCTATCGACTTCATAATTATTTAAATCGCGATTGAGACAATTTCTGACGTGAAATAATTGATGCGTTCTTCGTGTTTTCGAAGTGTCAATTTGAATCACATAGTTTAACAAAATGAAATCTCAATCTTTGAACGTAAAGCAAAATAATTGTTTGGCAAAATATCTATGACAAAGTATGCCGCCATCTTGGATTAAGATAAAATAAACTTACGACAGGTATGGGGCTATCTTAGATTACGACAAACTTAAGATATCTCAGGGCTACGATATTTTCGAAAATAGGCTACGATCGCCTACGATTTCCTTACGATAACTTTACGATGATTTTAGGGCTACGATCGTTTCGAAAATCTTGGCCCTAGGCACACCACACTGCACAACAACATGCATATACATGCATGTACCTCCCCGTGAAGATCCGGGGTAGAATAGGTCTTCAGCAACCCATGCTTGCCGTAAAAGTCGACTATGCTTGTCGTAAGAGGCGACTAACGGGATCGGGTGGTCAGGCTCGCTGACTTGGTTGATGCATGTCATTGATCCCAATTGCGTGGATCGATGCTCATGATATTAATCACTGGATTGTCTTGTCCAGATTCGATTATTTACATATAGCTGGAATATTGCTTAGTGCGGCGTTAAACAACAAACTAACGAACCGTCAGTCGGACACTCATCATAAAAAAAGTATCAGTGTTATACTGACGCAAGGGAAGACCCTGACGGTTAACTCAATGTGAAAAAATATATAACAAAAATACTTTTTTTTACAGCAGCATGTATTGACTGGTTACATGTGGGCACGACGTTTCCATCAGTGGATCAAGCAGGTTTCAAACTTCCAGCGCCTGTCTCTGCAACAGAATATATGAAGCTGAAAATTTATGCATATGATCCCAAAACTTCTGTCTCTAAAGTTGCCCACCAAATTCTGTCCTAACTTTCAAAATGGCCGTTACGGAGACAATGTCATTTTCACCCTTTGTTCAGTAGGTTTCGTATGAATCACTGTGTTATTTCATATATTTTTATTTTTTTGTTTAACGCCACACTCAGCAATATTCCAGCTATTTGACGGCGGTCTGTAAATAATCGAGTCTGGAACAGACAATCCATTGATTGACATCATAAGCATCAATCCAAGTAATTGGGATACAATGACATGCATCAACCAAGTCAGCGAGCCTGACCACCCGATCCCGTTAGTCGCCTCTTACGACAAGCATAGTCACCATTTACGGCAAGCATGGGTTACTGAAGACCTATTCAACCCCGGATCTTCACGGGTTGCCGCATTGTTGATTGATAAGAGACAAAAGATTTGAAATCATACAATTTAATTGTGGGCAAGTGAGTTATCAGTGTACACTCGTCCTAGGTCCAATCTGTACTGCTGGTCATTTGAGATTAACGGGTGGGTCGTTAAGCTCGTGTCAACGTCGCTCATAATATCAATCAATGGTTTGTCTGACCCAGACTCTAGTACTTACACCATATAGCTGGAATATTGCTGAGTGTCTAGCGACAGAATATGTGAGACCGCATCATGCAGAGTAATACACTTACTCGAAATGGTTGTGGTGAATGCTGAAGACTCCCTTGAGGAAGTGTGCAGCAGGCATTCTGAAGGTGAACCTCTCATCCCAAGTGTTGACATAGCCGGTCTTGGCACAACGCACCAAATGTCTACCTGAAACAGATATGTCACAATAATGTTATGTAAACAACAAGTTGACAACTAGATCTGATATTTAAATCCCAAATGAACATTATTGTTGTCGCCATTCCAATTACCAGAAGCGATTATTAATAACAGGCCTATTTTCATGACTAAAAGAAGTTTTGAACCGCAATAATTACATTTACGGATTCATAACGCAGTTACATGTAAGTGACACCATGTGTTTTTTAAAGATGTTAGCTGACGTACCTCTCAGGGAGCAACAGAGGAACTTAAATCGTCGGTCTTCGAAGTGGTTGTGGTGATAGCTGCTGACGCCTCTAATAACGCCATTGTTGGGGCATTGGAAAGATATCGGTTTATCAAATTGGTTCACAAAGCCTGAAAGAGTGATTGGATGAGTTGTGGGTTAATGCCGCTTTTATTAGCAGTTCTGTCTAAGCAGTGGCTAAGGTAGCAGGTCAAATGTTCAAAGCAGGATAAAAGTTCCTACAGTTTTGAGACCAACCCCCAAAAAGATAATCGTCATCACAATTCAAGCGAATCCTACTTTGCAGTGATTAATCACGCTTTTCATGCAACATGCAGCTGGCGTTCGATTATTTTCGACTGATCTAGTGGATAGAGCGTCTGCCCGGTTGGTTGGTTCGTTGTTTAACGCCGCACTCAGGATGTTCCAGCTATATGACGGCGGTCTGTAAATAATCGAGTCTGAACCAGACAATCCAGTGATTGACATCATGAGCATCGATCCACGCAATTGGGAGCAATGGCATGAATCAATCAAGTCAGCGAGCCTGACCACCGAGAGCGGAAGGCCGGTGGTTCGATTTATTAACTGTAAATCCCTTGAAACGTTGACTTTGTCGGATATCATCCGTGTAGACCATTACGGCCATGTTTAAAATCAGAATTCTGTTAGCAGCTTGAGAACACCATTGCTCTAACAACAGTTCACCTTTAAAAACACTGAAGTTTCCAAAGACAAAATGCATCGACAATAGAAAAACGGCGATATATGACGGTCAAAGATTAAAGATCGTATGTAAAGGTCAAAGTGTCGAAAATAAAGCTGTTGTCCTCTCAACTTCCTTACCACTGCCATAGTGCTATTCAAATGTGTGGATTTCACTCTGACTTCTGTTTCAAGATGATTTGCGCATACAGTAAACTACGGTTAAAACGAACTCAAAGGAGCACTAATTTTAGTTTGTTATAACCGTAGTTCGTTATAAGCATATGTATAGCACATATACAGAAGTGGCCGGGACAAAAAAATAAGTTCGTCATATCCGTTAGTTCGTTATAAGCGTGTTCGTTATAAACGTAGTTTACTGTATGTCACTTACCATGCCATCGACATCTCCCTGATAGACTTGGTGTCTTCTGACAGGTGAACTTGTAGCGTCTGTCTTCATGGTGGTTGCTATGATAGCTTTCCCAGGAAGCAATGGACTTCCCCCGACGACATCGGAACCGAAAAGGCTTGTCAAAGCCGTTGACATATGATGACGTCACGACAGAGACAAGCGACAGCAGCAGAAACGCAGTCTGGAAGCAGTGAAGGATTTGTTGTTTGTTTGTTGTTTTACGACGTACTCAGCAATATTCCAGCCGTATGACGGCGGTCTGTAAATAATCGAGTCTGGACCAGACAGTCCAGTGATTGGCATCATGAGCATCGATCCACGCAATTGGGATACGATGACATGCATCAACCAAGTCAGCGATCCTGACCACCCGATCCCGTTAGTCGCCTTTTACGGCAAGCATGGGTTGCTGAAGACCTATTCTACCCCGGATCTTCACGAATAAGGAAGCAGTGGAGGAACAAGTATGATGGCAGCCATGAAACATAATACAGAATCGAAATCAAATCTCCATAACTATTAATTCTACTTACCTTTCAGTCACCTGGTGCTAATTCTTTTAACACACTTCACAAGAATTAACTTTGCTTTCGACAAGATCTACTTTACATAACATTTCACACTGCACGTTACTCACATCCACCACCCGTGAAGATCCGGGATAGAATAGGTCTTCAGCAACCCGTGCTTGCTGTAAAATGCGACTATGCTTTTCGTAAGAGGCGACTAACGGGATCAGGTGGTCAGACTCACTGACTTGGTTGATACATGTCATCGAATCGAATTGCGTGGAGCGATGCTCATGATATCAATCACGGGATTGTCTGAACCAGACTCGACTATTTACAGACACCGCCATATAACTGGAATATTGCTGAGTGCGGCGTTAAACAACAAACACACAAACAGACAAAACCTACATCCACAATTTGCAAGTTACAATGTATGTATGGAACATGATATCATAATCTCTATCGGCAAGGTTTTATGTGTATCTGGAACACTGCATTCGTACTATTGTTTCAATTAGGAAAGTACTAGTGTTGTTTCTCATAATATTTTTTATTGACACGGTGCATTATGTTTCCAATCAATAATTTTTAAAAATAAAATAAAAAGGCGAATGTTTAAAATCTAAACTTGGTGATAAATGATATAATACATTTTTAAGCAACGAAAAATAAACTTATTGCTGCTAAATATTTCTTTTCAAATTAATATCTTACTAAAATGATCTTATCATATACATTTTTTTCAATGAATATATAAATGGAATATCAAACTCGGTAATGAAAAAAACCACTACTTTGATGTAGACTGGTAGCTTTAAAATGCATTTCCCGCTACAATTATTCCCACAAAGAAAGAATTGTGCCTAATCATACTTACAGGGAACATCATAGTGTGAACACACAGCGCCTTGGACTACAAGTACTGATACAGCATTCCCTACAGTATATATATACATGTATACCACCTGTAACTGCCACACCGTGTGCGTTGTGATTGGTCGTCACTAATTCCGCCCATCGCAGAACAGTTGTTTCTCTAGTGATTGGAGGGAATCATCACTTACGTTTAAACTACATCCTGGGCGCAATAAAGTATCTTCACAATATGTGACTATGAAAGGATTAGTTTACTGGATATTTAACCTGCAGTTCTAACATTCATTTTTAACTTATTAATATTTTCTTTTAATGTATATGTATTAATGAAACAAATTCGTATCGAAATGTAATTTTTGCAAGCCCAAGAGAGTTGTTTACTAGATCGCATCTAAACGAATATTCCTTTGTGGTGCTGAACAAATGCCTCAGTTTATTGTGTCATATTTTCTTGAGTTCTGTTTGTTGAGTAATGTAGTTATATTAAGGGCGCAGTCTCAATAAAACGAGAAACACACTTGTCACAATACGAGTTGCTTTGGTGGCCTTGTTCATCTGTAATTCCCCCCTAAACGAGCCACGCTCACTACAACCATCCCAGACTTGCTGTATTTGTCTAAATCAAGTGAAGTGCTGCTTTCCTGAAATGTCCTGCAATGTTTCCTGTGTGTATTTTTTAGACTCAGGAGCACACGCTCAGTTAACTACACATATATTTTTTTATTCTAGAAATACAACTCTGAATAAGTTTTAACTGCAGTGAACGACGGTTATAAAGAACTCAGAGGAACCACTAATTACAGTTCGTTATAACCGTAGCTATAGGCATATATACACCAAATGGACGGGACCAAACATTTCGTTATATCCGTTAGTTCGTTATAAGCGTGTACCTTATCAACATAGTTTACTGTAAATACCTGTCAGGTTCTAACATGCCCATTAGTGTGTGGCTTAAGCTAAACACTCGGCGTAAAGAAAGTGCATGAAAAAGTTAAAATTTAAGATAATGTAACACAGCGGACATAATCTGTACCAGCACTCCACTTGTTCGAACTCCTTGAACTCGATATATCATTGAAGATAATATGACATCGTCAACCATAATCTGTATCAACACTCCACTTGTTCGAACTCCTTCAACTCGCTATATCATTGAAGATAATGTAACATCGTCAACCATAATCTGTATCAACACTCCACTTGTTCGAACTCCTTTAACTCGATATATCATTGAAAATAATGTAACATCGTCAACCATAGTTTGTATCAACACTCCACTTGTTCGAACTCCTTCAACTCGCTATATCATTGAAGATAATGTAACATCGTCAACCATAATCTGTATCAACACTCCACTTGTTCGAACTCCTTCAACTCGCTATGTCATTGAAGAAAATGTAACACAGTGGATATAATCTGTATCAACATTCCACACGTTCGAACTCCTTGAACTCGATATATCATTGAAAATAATGTAACATCGTCAACCATAATTTGTATCAACACTCCACTTGTTCGAACTCCTTCAACTCGCTATATCATTGAAGATAATGTAACATCGTCAACCATAATCTGTATCAACACTCCACTTGTTCGAACTCCTTTAACTCGCTATATCATTGAAAATAATGTAACATCGTCAACCATAATCTGTATCAACACTCCACACGTTCGAACTCCTTCAACTCGATATATCATGAAAATAATGTAACATCGTCAACCATAATCTGTATCAACACTCCACACGTTCGAACTCCTTCAACTCGCTATATCATTGAAGATAATGTAACATCGTCAACCATAATCTGTATCAACACTCCACACGTTCGAACTCCTTCAACTCGATATATCATTGAAGATAATGTAACATCGTCAACCATAATCTGTATCAACACTCCACTTGTTCGAACTCCTTTAACTCGATATATCATTGAAAATAATGTAACATCGTCAACCATAATCTGTTTCAACAATCCACTTCTTCGAACACCTTTAACTTGCTATATCATTGAAGATAGTGTAACAGCGTGAACCATAATCTGTATCAACACTCCACTTGTTCGAACTCCTTTAACTCGATATATCATTGAAAACAATGTAACATCGTCAACCATAATCTGTATCAACACTCCACACGTTCGAACTCCTTTAACTCGATATATCATTGAAAATAATGTAACATCATCAACCATAATCTGTATCAACACTCCACACGTTCGAACTCCTTCAACTCGCTATATCATTGAAGATAATGTAACATCGTCAACCATAATCTGTATCAACACTCCACTTCTTCGAACACTTTTAACTTGCTACATCATTGAAGATAATGTAACATCGTCAACCATAATCTGTATCAACACTTCACTTGTTCGAACGCCTTGAACTCGATATATCATTGAAAATAATGTAACATCGTCAACCATAATCTGTATCAACACTCCACGCGTTCGAACTCCTTGAACTCGCTATATCATTGAATATAATGTAACATCGTCAACCATAATCTGTATCAACACTCCACTTGTTCGAACTCCTTGAACTCGATATATCATTGAAAATAATGTAACATCGTCAACCATAATCTGTATCAACACTCCACACGTTCGAACTCCTTCAACTCGCTATATCATTGAAGATAATGTAACATCGTCAACCATAATCTGTATCAACACTCCACACGTTCGAACTCCTTCAACTCGCTATATCATTGAAGATAATGTAACATCGTCAACCATAATCTGTATCAACACTCCACTTGTTCGAACTCCTTGAACTCGATATATCATTGAAAATAATGTAACACAGTGGATCTAATCTGTATCAACACTCCACTTGTTCGAACTCCTTGAACTCGATATATCATTGAAAATAATGTAACATCGTCAACCATAATCTGTATCAACACTCCACACGTTCGAACTCCTTCAACTCGCTATATCATTGAAGATAATGTAACATCGTCAACCATAATCTGTATCAACACTCCACTTGTTCGAACTCCTTGAACTCGATATATCATTGAAAATAATGTAACATCGTCAACCATAATCTGTATCAACACTCCACACGTTCGAACTCCTTCAACTCGCTATATCATTGAAGATAATGTAACATCGTCAACCATAATCTGTATCAACACTCCACTTGTTCGAACTCCTTGAACTCGATATATCATTGAAAATAATGTAACACAGTGGATCTAATCTGTATCAACACTCCACTTGTTCGAACTCCTTGAACTCGATATATCATTGAAAATAATGTAACATCGTCAACCATAATCTGTATCAACACTCCACACGTTCGAACTCCTTCAACTCGCTATATCATTGAAGATAATGTAACATCGTCAACCATAATCTGTATCAACACTCCACTTGTTCGAACTCCTTGAACTCGATATATCATTGAAAATAATGTAACATCGTCAACCATAATCTGTATCAACACTCCACACGTTCGAACTCCTTCAACTCGCTATATCATTGAAGATAATGTAACATCGTCAACCATAATCTGTATCAACACTCCACTTGTTCGAACTCCTTCAACTCGCTATATCAATGAAGATAATGTAACATCGTCAACCATAATCTGTATCAACACTCCACTTGTTCGAACTCCTTCAACTCGCTATATCAATGAAGATAATGTAACATCGTCAACCATAATCTGTATCAACACTCCACTTGTTCGAACTCCTTGAACTCGATATATCATTGAAAATAATGTAACATCGTCAACCATAATTTGTATCAACAGTCCACTTGTTGGAACTCCTTGAACTCGATATATCATTGAAAATAATGTAACATCGTCAACCATAATCTGTATCAACACTCCTCTTGTTCAAACTCCTTTATCTCACTATATCATTGAAGATAATTTAACATTGTCCATCGAAATCTGTACCAACACCCCGCTTGTTCAAACTCCTTTAACTCGCTATGTCATTGAAGATTATGTTACACAGCGGACATAAGCTGTACCAACACTCCACTTGTTGGAACTCCTTTAACTCGCTATATCATACTCCGCTTGTTCGAACTCTTTTAACTCGCTATATCCTTGAAGATAATGTGACATCGGGAACCAAAATCTGTATCAACACTCCACTTGTTCGAACTCCTTGAACTCGATATATCATTGAAAATAACGTAACATCGTCAACCATAATTTGTATCAACAGTCCACTTGTTGGAACTCCTTGAACTCGATATATCATTGAAAATAATGTAACATCGTCAACCATAATCTGTATCAACACTCCTCTTGTTCAAACTCCTTTATCTCACTATATCATTGAAGATAATTTAACATTGTCCATCGAAATCTGTACCAACACCCCGCTTGTTCAAACTCCTTTAACTCGCTATGTCATTGAAGATTATGTTACACAGCGGACATAAGCTGTACCAACACTCCACTTGTTGGAACTCCTTTAACTCGCTATATCATACTCCGCTTGTTCGAACTCTTTTAACTCGCTATATCCTTGAAGATAATGTGACATCGGGAACCAAAATCTGTATCAACACTCCACTTGTTCGAACTCCTTTAACTCGCTATATCACTGAAAATAATGTAACATCGTCAACGATAATCCTTATCAACACTAAACTTGTTCGAACTCCTTTAACACGCCATATCTTTGAAGATAATGTAACGTAGTGGACAAAAATCTGCATCAACACTCCACTTGTTCGCTTTATCATTGAAGATAATGTAACTTCGTGAACCATATTCTACATCAACAATCCTCTTGTTCGAACACTTTTAACTCGCTTTATAATTTAGAACAATTTATGACAGGGGAAGATAAGGTGGTGGGCAAAGAGTAATTGCTAGACGCAATTGTTGAAACTTTATTCTGCACTGGTTTTTATCCAAGATCCGCCCTAGTTATGATGCTTGGTCTGTGAGCACCATTCAGATGCTGGTTTGATTTTCCCAAAAGAGAAATAACAAGAACCTGAATATTTGTTTTCCTTTCCCCTGAAATTGACTCGCCGTGATTTAACTAAACTACTGGTCTAAACGGTGTCACTCACTGGCTCATTCACTCACTCACTTTATGAGCATTGCATCTGTGCACTTAAAGATATACAGCATGTTGTACTTGATTACGGTAATGATTGTGAACCACTGCACGTGTGACAGGCGTGACGCCTGCATGAAATACAACAGATGCGCGTGTCTGTCACTGAAATATTACCGGATTTGACAGGTCAGAATGACATTCATTGTCACAAACTATGTGAAATAACTTGGTAACAAATTCTGGTCAACTCGACTTTTGACATCCGAATGTTTTCCTTTATGAACATCAAGGTTCGGGGAGTTGTGTTCGTGATAATTAATTTTGTTTGTTTGTTGTTTAACGCAGCAATATTCCAGCTATATAAGGGCAGGCTGTAAATAATCAAGTCTTGAACAGACAATCCAGTGATTGACATCATGAACATCGATCTACGCAGTTGTATACGATGATATGCATCAACCAAGTCAGCGAGCCTGACCATCCGATCCCGTTAGTCGCCTCTTACGACAAGCATAGTCGCCAGTTACGGCAAGCATGGGTTGCTGAAGACCTATTTCAACCCGGAGTGCGGCGTTAAACAACAAACAAACAAAACATCATTGCTGTCAATCAAGATGGCCACAGGCGGATCCTGAGGATGGGTCCAGGGGGTTCAGACATCGGTGAGATAATTATGAGCCAAATTCCAGTTAACATGCTTGGCGTACTTGAGACACACTGTATCATAATCAACTTGAGAAATATAGGGCACAAGTCTGTCTTACAGAGGGAACACTAATAAGACACATCACTGAAACATTACTGAAAACAAGTAAGCGTTTTATTTAAAGCAACTAAAAATCTTTGTCACAAGGTTAATTTGTTTGTTTGTTTGTTGCTTAACCCCGCACTCAGCTATATTCCAGGTATATGACGGCGGTCTGTAAAAATAATCGAGTCTGGACCAGACAATCCAGTGATTGACATTATGAACATCGATCCACACAATTGGGATACGATGACATGCATCAACCAAGTCAGCGATGCTGACCATGCGGTTCTGTTTGTCGCCTCTTACGACAAGCATAGTCGCCTTTTAGTCTGACATGCAGACCCTGAAACAAATATATCCGATACAGCCCATGTATAATGTTTGGCAAGTCTAGATTACTGCACTGAAGTAAGTCTCTGTGTTCCTTATTATTATATTTTATAACTCTAATTTAACAACTTTTTTTCTGTAAAATATGTTCATTTCAGACAAGAAATCTACGTTGCCTTTTACGGCAAGCATGGCTTGTTGAAGACCTACATGTATTCTACCCTGGATCTTCACGGTTTTGTGACTAGGTTATCATTATTAATGATTTTAAGAAATTTGTAATTAGCTCTATGTAATTAAACATACGAAGTAATGCATTTTCTATTTTCATAATTACTTTCTTAGTTTAGGGAATAATCTCAAAGGATATGTTGCAAGCATGAAAGACCCATTCTACCCCGGACCATCACGGGTCACGGTGTAGGAGTGACGCGTAATAAACGATGAGTGGGAGTTGCTTGTCGTACAATAACACACTGCAGGGAGAATAAACCATGATGGCCACAGCCCCTGAATCATGAGTGAGTGAGTTGGGTTTAACGCCGCTTTTAACAGTATTCCAGTCATATCGCGACGTGTCAGCTTAATGTGGGAGGAAAGCCCGAAGTGATGCAGGTTTAAGACGTTTACCACTTCGGTGAAAGCCACGAGCACAAGTATGGTGCTGACAAACCTAGAAACATAATTGGGGCGAACCGGGATTCGAACCCACAATCACAGGTTTCTGGCGTGCCCAAGGGACGCAACTCTGCACAGCGAATCGCGGCGCCTTAGACGACTGGAATCATGGGTCTTGTGAGAATGGAACTGCGACCTGAAAAAAAGAAATCCCTTGCATGGACACAAGGTGGTCCTATGTCCACATTTGACCAAAAATGATGTTTTTACATTTTCTTTCCAAATGGGTGCTTTTCTAACAGGGGACACGGATGTCCCAGTCGTCTAAGGCGCCGCGAATCGCTGTGCAGAGTTGCGTCCCTTGGGCACGCCAGAAACCTATGATTGTTGGTTCGAATCCCGGTTCGCCCCAATTATGTTTCTATGTTTTTTTCCGTGCTCGTGGGTTTCACTGAAGTGGTAAACGTCTGAGGCCTGCATCACTTCGGGCTTTCCTCCCACATTAAGCTGACACGCCGTGATATAACTGTAATAATATTAAAAGCGGCGTTAAACCCAACTCACTCACTCACTTTTCTAGGTGAGGTGAGGTGAAATTGGGTTTAACGTCGCCTCCAAGTTTATTGCACTTATATAGAGACGTACATGCACGTGTGTGTGTGTGTTGCTGCTTGTACTAGTCCGGACTTATGCCGATGTATAGTGCTAGCCCACTGAGATACCATGCCGCTGTTTAACATGAATACCCCACTCAGACACAGTATACTGACTCCGAGCCGACCAGTCCTTGTTTTAGCGCCTTAATGCCGAGCGCCAGACAGGGTAACAACAAGTACCATCTTTTAACGTCTTTTGGTATGACGCGGCCGGGGATCGAACCCCGGACCTTCCGCTCTCCGGTCGGTCACTTTTCTAACATTGTTGTAAATTTCATGAATCCCCAGTTGCTGGAATGTAGTTTTTCAGTGTTTCTACGTCCAAAAACTCATAAGATGCTTTAAACCAGAATGTTCTGTGACCATGCCCATGTTCATGTCTTGGCACAGATCATGTGACAAGGAGATAGGACCGCATACTTCCAAATCGTTTTTAGAAAGAACCTTTGGTTATCATTTATCAAGAGTAGAATGTGAACATTGGGACTGAGTTTTATGATCTGTCAGCTGAAATACTGAGTAAAAGATGATGACTTCATTACAATAAGCTGTCTGGAGTATATCATTTCTCCTTTGGGTGACAAAATAGTGAACAGTGAGAAAGTGTTAACCATTCTTTCCACATGTTGAATTCGAAATGTGACTTAAAAAACAATCTCAGCTCTCTTTTGTAAAGAAAGAAATTCTCAGCTCTAAAACTGAAGGAATAATTAGTATAACGTTCGACGCGGGGGAAGAAAACATGCGGCTTTACAAAACCACATGCTGTCGACACAAGGCCTCGTTCTACTTGTATTG